ATAGCTAAATATGTGTTTAACTGTTTAAAGGTTCTTTACGCTCAAATTTTCATCAAGTTTTTAAATTGCCAAATAGAAGTTCATTTTTAATTATAAGTAGAAATGAAAAAGGCCAACAAGGAAGTATCTCCAATATTTATTTTCTCTTGGTATATAGCAATTAATATATACTTCTTGATTTAAAATCCTTGTATCATCTCAGAATTCTTGTAGATCTACAGCCTAATTCTGCAGGATTCCCTATTAAGGTTCTCAAGGGACTGATATCAAAATATAAGCTAATTTAATTGCTCATCTAGAACACTAACATTTAGATTCCATTTCCAAACTTTGTACAGTTTTTGGGAAAATTGAATTTTCTATACCTATAAGACTGGAGTCACTTTTTTTTTTCTGGCCATTACTCTGATGAAGCTCAGGCTCTCAGAGGCTACCCTCATCCAACCTTGTGGCAATATCACCATATGGCAACTCTCTTCTTCAGCAATAGCAAAAAAAAATCTATCTGTACTTTGTTGTGCGATAGGTTTATGCAAGATAATATCCCATATCTATGAAATAGAATCTTTTTGGGAAGTCATTCTGTCAAGTTTTATGTCCTTGCTTTTCTCAACAGCAGGCACTATGAAGTGTATAGATCTGAGAACTATGAAAGTTGGGGGTCACGACAGAATTCTTTTTGTATAAGATTACCTAAAACCAGAGTTGAAGAATCTGTGCTGTTAGTATGTAAGTAATAATGTATTATTGCTTTAGGAATAGGAAAATATGATATAGAAGGAAGCTGAGACAGACAAGGAGAGAGAGAGATAGGGAAAGAGAGCAATAGTGGACAGACACATATAAGACCTACATTTGGTTTAAAGATGACAACGTAATACAATAAAGAAAAACTGTCACTTTCAATGAAAAATCCTTTGTGAACTGAAGTTACCTTTAGTGAAAAAGGAAAGACTATATCTTTATGTCTTACAGTCCTCATATCATCCAAAACCACCCAAATGATAGGTAACTTGTTATAAAATTAAAATCATAAAAATTCTAGAAGACAACATATGGAAATATTTTCAAGACTTTATGTTAAAGAAAATATTTTGGGGAGAAAACCAGTCACCAGTAGAATTAGTCATAATTTAGGATACATTTTGTTATTCAATGTGATGCTAAGTAGCAATAAGTATTCATGTATTGCCACTTTTCAGAAGAAAGATGGGAGCATGCAAAACCTTAAGATAATTTGATCCATATAACTGAAAAAAATGAGATAAAATTAAACCAGCCAAAGAAATATGTTGAGCTTGCATTACTCTGTGATTTAATTCCCATAAATTATAAGATTAGAAATATATTGTTAATTTTTATAGGATTTAGTATGTGTTAAGCTCAGTCCTGGAGAAAAGGAAATGGGAGGACTAACTGGGCACTTTAGGTGCTGAAAGGACTGGTCCATGGGTCCATGTATAGATGCCACTATTGAAAGTTGACTTAACTATGGTTTTGCGAAATGAAGTAGCAGTGTATGCTGCCTTTCAATTTTTGTAAAGTAATGTTCAAGTATGGAAGCTATTTGACTCCACTTTTGATATCACAGTCTTTAAAAATCATGCTAAGCAATACTCAAAATAATTTACCTGCTAATGAATTTTTTGTACCTTTACTAGTGAAATCAAGCCTTACAAAGTGATAGGTAGACATAACAAAGATTAGACATAGTCTAGTGATTACCTTATGTGAGTCCAATTTAGCTTTAGGCTGTCATTTGGGGAAGCTTCTTATTAGCCTGAACTTAACTTTGACAGCAATTTCAAGCAATTTGCTGAAAGTTTTACCCAAAATGTACCACACATGTAGTCTCACAGGTTAATATAATACATTAAGTGTATTCCTTTTCCCCAAGATGAAAACAGTACACACTTGAAGAAATTTACCATGTCAAATTGTATAATTCTTTATAGCTTCAACATTACATACATGCAAATTTAATTTAAATTGAATTTTAAATGAAAGTTAGGTTTAAGTTTTTTTTTTTAAATATAATTTTTTTATTGAAAAAAAAAAAGATTTCCGCCTCCTCCCC